AGCTTCCTACTGATACCAGGATATCAGAAAGTTGACATCTTCTGTCACAGACTGAAAACTCACCTGTTTCCACTGCACCATGGCCAATTAAAAAAATATATATATATATAGAAAATCTCTTCTGTGCGGGGCACTCAAAGGTTTGGCTTTAAGTTAAGCTAATGCAGTAGCACTTAATCTGGTTGGGTTTATAGATAGGAAATGTACCTGCAGGATTCTTGTTTCTGAGTTTGTTTCTTCATGGTTGAATATTATTGTAAGTCGCTTTGGATAAAAGCATCAGCTAAATGAAATGTAATCCAAATGTAATGTCAATCCAAAGCGTATATCTTTTCTAAATACTAAAACATCGACTACACTAGGCCAGAGATTTTTTATGGGTATCTACTTTGTATCGATACCCATCTTGTGGATGAATCCTATCAGTTGTGTGTATCTTTATTTATTCAAAGTTTTTTTTCCTTTAGTCCTGGTTAAAAGATGGATCAAATGCAGGTATTGTTTCAATATTACTTGAAAATGATGTTGAGCCTTAATAATAACATTCGTTATAATTATCAGGACAGAGGTCATGATCTTACGCTGAGATTGAGCTCAAATAAGATATTTTTTAACCATCAGAATGAAGAAACATATGGCCTCCAGGTTAAAGGGGCTCTCTTTAATGAAAACATAAATCACCCATGAGAATGTCTTCCTCTGTATCCTCAGTGCATGAGCAATGAAAATATATAACATGGCAATAACACAGAGGATTCCCACAGCTGCTGCTTGTTTTCATGGGGATATGAATCGGCCCTGTGTTCTCTAAGATATGATCGGATTAAATTAAAATGATTCCTAAGGGAAGCTGAGCTATTACAGCAGCTAATAAGTTACAGAAAAACAAATAAAGCAAAGAGTGAAAGCACATCAACCATGTGAAAACTGCAGCACTAGGACGTCCATGAAAAAAGGATGCATGAAAATATGACGTGGGTGTGCATCAAGAGAATAAAGTAGTAGTATCAGTGTTGAGCTGCAATAAACAAAGAGTGAAATGATCAAAGCTCAATGTACGCTGTGCTGATATTCTGTGAGAAACATTCTACATCTGTGAGTAAATGGCCATACGGCAGCTTACTTTAAAGAGGCCCTATTCTGATGTTTGGGTTTTCCCTCTCCTGTAATGTGTTCTGTAGGTTTCTGTGCAGGTCTGCAAAGGCTAAAGTCCCTGAGTTTCTCTCACACACTCCCCTTTATTTTTATTAATTTGTTTTTATTTTCCTTAATTGGCTTTGATTTGAACTATTCACCAGAATGATCTGCCTCGTTAGAAAAATAATTTGTAACATTCTTGAACCAATTCCCTTAACCCAGGGGTGGGGAACCTCCGGCCCCCGGGCCGTATACGGCCCGCGAGACCATTTGATACGGCCCTCGAAGTAATTTATAAACACACGCAAAAAAAAATATTAAAGAAATCTAGACCGCAAAAGAATTAAAAAAGCGAGTGCCTGTTTTTCCTGGCCAAGGTCAGGGTCCTTGAACACAACACAAGCCTAACGTGTCATCACGTGGTATACGTCTCGTCTGACAGCAGGGGTGCAGTTATGCCGGAGAGCACCAGAACGCCGCTCCGCCACTTCAAAAATTGCAGTACCCATAAGGAGCCGTACACATGCCGCAGTTTTTGCGTGGCTGTGTCTTAGTTGTAAGCCCAGTGGCATCTGTCATACTGATCATAGTCAATAACTTCTTTGTTATTAGCATCTGGTTAGCTAGCTATGCTAACGAATATAAGAAGCTTTTTCTACAACCAGTGAGGTAAAGGCACATCTTTATATGATCATTATAGTTATAAAAAAATAAGAGACTAAAGGAAAAACAGGTATAAAATACTATATGAGAGTAACAAAAAGTTGTTATAAATAAATAAGAATACAGTTTGAAAGGGGAGTGATTTGTAAAATATCCATAAAGAAAAAGGAAATCTGCTTAGAGTTCTGCTTCATATGGGTGTTGAGAGCTGTATCCATAGATCTCTTCATTTTGCTCTCAAAGTGCACCAGATTGATGCTTTTAACTTCAACATTTAAAAAAAAAAATCTTCTCGGGGGAGCATGCCCCCGGACCCCCCTAGAGGAGGTTAGGTCCCCCCCCACTTAAATCATGCGCGAGTCATGGTAAGATATCTGGATTAAGAGGTTGCTTTTTCTTTGCACAGCATGAAAGAAAGGCCAAACGAATGGGCTGTGATTTTAGTATTTTTAAGCAGTGGTCAATAATTTGTACGGCCCTCGGAGGATGTTGTAAAAATGGAAATGGCCCTTGAGAGGAAAAAGGTTCCCCACCCCTGCCTTAACCTGTCAAACACTACACATTTTTTTTTTTTTTTTTTTTTAAATCATATACATTGCTATTTCAGATCTGTACTTTTGTGTGTGCAGATGTAAAAAGACTGAGGTATTTGTCCTCGATGTTCTGTGCAGCATGTAAGCATATAATAAATGATGTGTACTATGACTCAGTCGTATGCAGACATTATTGTGTATTTGTAAAGGACTATAACTCTTCCTGTGGGTCCGTACTGTAAGTAAAGGCTGATCTATAAACAGGAAGCTGATGACAATATAGTAAAAAAAACTGTTGTTATTATCAGGTTAGAATTTCTTGGTTTGAATCATTTTTGCCCTCTTTATTGTCAGAAAACATCTTGAATGTTAGGGTTTTTACCTGCTTATTTCTGACACTGCTTGTATTACACTTGTATTTATAGAAGTTCTTATAGCTGAAAAAACTGTATAATAATAAACACTTTCTTATGTCCTTATATCTGTCTGTTATGTTGTTTTAAAACCATGTATTAAATGTTTGCCTATAACTGCTTTTTAAATATGCTTCAAAGAGCATTATACATACCTCACCATGCACAAGTTGTTCTGCTCCCTGAAGTATTAAACACTACAAGCATCCACTCTGTTTAAGAGCAGACCTTGGGCACACAAACATCACACACACGTACAAATGCAGCCTCTAAACGCACATGTATGCACAGATGCACGCATTCACAAGAACTTGAAATGTATGCAGCGCCCACGCTCTCATAAACTCAAGCAGCGCTCTGTCCCTCCTCATGAGCTCCAGAGGGAAGACGCTGCATTTTTAATCACAGAGTTGGTTCACAGCGGCGACGTGCCAGAGGGCGATTTCACTTAAAGAGACACTTCCTGGTTTCAGGTTGTGCTGAGGATAGATTCATACAGACACCAAACAAATGTTGTCCCTTTCTTGAAATGGTCCCACAGGCTTTTGTGAAATATTTCTTTTTAAAGTATAGTTTTCTGGGTATTTATTTCCAAATTCCCGGTAATAGGGATGGTAAAACTTCTATGATTTTATGGATGAATAAAATGATAGCTCAGCTTGGATTTTTTTCTCAAATTTGTCAGCAAAGTTATTACTTGAAAAAGAAGAAGGAATTCATCAAAACATAAGTAAAAAAGACTAAAGAGCTAACACAATCTTTAATGCCACCTATTGGTGCTTCTGACAGACTTTATTGTGACATTTCAAAGGATATGACTCCTCAGGGTGTGGTTGTGAATATGTGTGTATGTATATAAAAGCTATGACTCAGTATCTATAACCTTGATGCCAGGCTCATTTGACTTCCGGCAGTTTTTTCCTCTAACACACACACACACACAGAAAAAATGTCTCCCACACACACTTGCACTGCTAAAGTGACCCGGGGGAGTGCGGCCGGTAGAATGTGGACTATGTTGGTAAAAATAGCTTCTTCCACCATCACTAAAATACTCCCAGGCTTAAACCAGGCCTGACATTATTCCTTTAGGAAAGTGAAGGATGACACAGACAGAGAAAGACACAGAACTGAGATTTTAAAGTATTCCAGGAAAGCCTGTTTTTTTTGGCAGCATCTCTGTGACTTCAAATGTGTCTGTTTTACTTAGAGCAGGAAATAACTTTTCTGTAAACACATCGCTTGAAGCTACATCCCAAAATTAGGACCTCTGAAAAATGTTTGCTTTCCCATCAGACCGGAGACAAATTCATCTCAGCTGAGCAGGACAACTTTAGAGCAACATAACAAAGGTCATGTATGTGATGGATCATTTTCTGCCTTTATAGAGGTTTAGAATTGGGAGAATGCAATCATCTAAAGTACCATGGTACCGAATGAATCACACACAAGCGGAAAGAAATGCTGTCAAACTGGACGTTTTTAGAGCAACAGGTAATTAAGGGAAACATTTTTGAGAATCTATCTAAAGCTGTTGCATGAACAGCATTCTGTGCATACTTCATACGTAGAGGGGGCTGGGGATGAACTGAGAGGAAGTGGAGGACAACCCCTGCTGGGCTCATAGATCAAAATTAAAATCAAGGGGAGGGTGAGGAAAAGGGGGCCGGGAGAAGAAGAGAAGCAGGAAGAGAGGATAAGAAAGGAATGAGGAGGGGGATAAATGTGGGAAACGTGCCAAAGAGAGAGAGTGTTTATGCATATGACAGATACCAACCATATGCCTGCGAGTAAGAACGAGTGTGTTTGTTGTCACAGAGGGAGATGAAAGATGTAGCTGCTCTGCTTTAACAAGCCGAGGGTTGTGGTACACGCAACACCACATTGTGTTGCAGGGGATTGTTCAAATGTGCTAAATGCGTCTATAAATACATTAAGCTTCTCCTCGGGCCACAACTGTAGTTAACAGAAGTTAACTTCAGTAAAAGTGGAGGCCGGGCGTGGGCTGGTGGGGAATAACGTGTCAAAAAACTCTGGTGAAAACTACGCAGCTGCTTCTGGTTGGTCAGTTTAATATGTTTTGACTCCACACACCCACTTGTTGTTTTGTTGGATTCCCCCTACACACACTGTGCTCACTTCCCACCTACTGCTCACTGCTGTGTTCATTCATCGTTTGGAGGATGAGTGCGGGATTATTCATCCTTTATTCTAAGTTTTCTCTGAAGTTTTGAAAAGCTAACAAACATCTTACCTGCGTATGCGTGGAGGTTTTGGAGGCGGGGTGTCCCATCTCTCCTCATCTGACTGCTGGCTTGTTTTATCTGGACTGTTTTCCTCCTGGACACACACACACACACACACACACACACACACACACACACACACACACACACACACACACACACACACACACACACACACACACACACACACACACACACACACACACACACACACACACACACACACACACACACACACACACACACACACACACACACACACACACACACACACACACACACACACACACACACACACACACACACACACACACACACACACACACACACACACACACACACACACACACACACACACACACACACACACACACACACACACACACAAAGACATGTTTGAGTTTAAGTTCCACGATGGTTTCATACCACTGGAATTTGATGATTTAGGTTAGAAAGAGGTCTCCATTACATCATGGGACTGAAAAACGTATCCTTCAGTCACAACTCTCCAATAACCAAGTCTTAGGAGTTAAAAAAATGATTTCTGTAATAATTATAATAATGCATTTCAATTTATGTATTGTATATATTTTTCCACTGAAGTAATGATAAGAATAAAACAATCTATGAAGACCAAATTATATTGAGTTGAAATTGATTTGTATTAACCTTAAGTAGCCTCGTAAATTGTGTGCCAAATACCTCAATCAAACTATTTACATGTTCGGGGTGTGTGGGAGAGAAACTCCCTCTGGAGGGAGCACAGGGATTTTAGTCTTTGCAGACCATTTACACAGAAAGCTATAGAACACACTACAGGAAGTATAATAGAGCCTCTTTAAAGACATCTGCCTCCAGCTGAGAGAGTGTATGGCGCATTTCCACCACACGGTCGGCCTCGGCCACGCTCGGTACTGCTTGGCCGCGTTGGGCCTTAACAGGGCCGGCTCACTTCATGCTGCGCTTCCATTACAGTTTAGGAACTGGGGTAGTATCTATAGTAACGCAGTGTAGGCGGAGCCGTGACGTCATCTTCAGTGAGAACCCCAGAAAAACAACACAGCCGTTAGCTGTTAGCACTCAGAGCTCACAGCTCCTCATATATGTTCAGAAACTAGACAAAAGTTAAACAAGTACAAACCACAGACTGCCTGTGTCATGGTGAATACAGTCGCTGCTTTATTTATGTCTGTATAGGCCGTTGTTGTGAGTGTGGACGGTCGGAGCATATACTGCGTTAGCTTAGCCAATCTCCATCTAGAAAACACGCATTTTAAAAGGTTTTTCGCCTGCCGTCTGTCTGCAGACTTGACAAAGCATTAATTCATGGTTTTTACTAACCGGTATCAGTATGTTGTTACTTCGGCATCATTTTGAAACGTGTATTACAATTAAATCACGGTCAAATATGTTCATCTTGTTGTAGTTGTAGCCCCCTTGCCAGCGATCCTCTCTCTAGTTTAGCATACTCAGCCCGACTCAGCCTCGTTGTCTCTGGCCCTAGACCCGCGATTTTATGAGGCCAGAAAAACTGTGAATTAGGACCCGCCGGCCGGTACTAGGCCAAGTGGAAACGCAACCAAAGACAGGCCGCTGACGTCACAGCCCTCTTAAACCGTGCTCCGCGCTGTAGTGGAAACGCGCCAAAAGTGGCCCCGGGCCGGGCCGGGCCGTAACTAGGCCTAGTGGAAGCGCAACCAAAAACGGGCACGGCACGACACGGCACGCTTAAACCGCGCTCCGCGCCATGGTGGAAATGTGCCATCTCCCTTCTAACTCTCTAGATGTTTCTGGAGCCGAGGCAGGAAGTTGCTTCACTGAAGGATTGAAATTGTTCCTGAAAGAAGCGCTCCTCCTCCCGCCTAATCTTCCCTTTCTTCCTCTCATCCTTCAGCTTCCTCCTCCTCTCCTCTCCTCCCCCGTGACTCATTAATTTGATTCTCTCTCTCCACTGATAAAGAGAAGATGACGGGACAACTTCAGGCGACAAAAACTCAACACAGAGGGGCAAATGAGGCCACATGAGCTCTTCCTTCAGGGTTCATGATGAAAACACAGTGTGTTGTGGAAAACTCCCTGCAAACAATGCAGCGCCTGCTGCCAGCAGAGTGTGGGATGTGTGTGTGGTTGTGTGTGTGTGTGTGTGTGTGTGTGTGTGTGTCAGACCTTTACAGCAACTAGGAAATACAGTAGCCAAGAACAGATACTTTGCGCTTTATGTTAGTGTATGTATAAGTGGGAGTCACGTTTGTGTGTGTGTGTGTGTGTGTGTGTGTGTGTGTGTGTGTGTGTGTGTGTGTGTGGGCTTACAGTTGACTGCCATTGAGAGCACCTATGTGGGTGTTTGAGTCACTGACAATGGCTGACTGGACATGAGTCAGTGTGTGTGTGTGTGTGTGTGTACACTTAACAAATGATTAATAAAAACAAACTTTGAAACAATTAAGAGTTGACTGCAGTTCAGTGGACAGGTTTCACACATTCTAGAGATACTATAAGAATTAAGATCATAGGGACAGGTTTAAAATAAATATATATAAACATCCTCCAGACTCTCAAAGTCTTTATCATCACATCTAAATTGTTACTATGTATTTAATTGCGAGAAATAAAGTATCCAGAGTTTTAATCTTTTTTTAGTATATATAATAATAGTTGAATTTAGTTTAGGAGCTGTTCTTATTAACTTTGATTGTGTGTTTTGATCATAAATGCTTGGTCATTTCCAGAGTAAGGATTAGAAATGTAAGTTCTTATGCAACAAATAAATATGATGTTTTATTTTAGATATTACATTTCTGGCTTACATGATCGACTGTGTTGATGAAATTCCAGATTATGTTATAAACTAAAACAATTTGAACTGAGTTCCCTCAAAAGCAAGGACGTTCCTATCTTTAAAAAAACATAACCATTCAAATGAAGCTTTTCCCAAACAGTGTAGAGAGTGTGGGTCTTTCTAATGTCAACATGGCTGTGTGTCCCTGTGACCGTCTCTTGGAAGGGTCTCCCTTTCCCAACGGATGCGTGTCTATTCTGAGACACAAAGTGCATTATGGGAGAGGGGTGATGTCATCAGAGCTTCGTAAGCAGGAAGTGGACTGGAGGTCTGTGTTTCTCAATGTCGAGTAAAGCTGCTGCAGAGCCACTATTTCAAGCATACTACTTCATCGAGTCCCGCTGAAGTACTGTTCCAATGTCCAGCATACTTGGAAATCTACCGAGCCCGACGTACTTCGTAGCGAGAAATTTCGAGGCTGCACATGTGTAGACTCCGCGGTCTTAAAATCCCCACAATGCTTTGCGCACGGACCAATTTCCCCAAATCTGTGGCGGAAGATGTAAGGCGGGGCCTCTCATATGACGCACACTTGCTCGCCTGTTCCATTCTTCGTTTTCCGAATGCCAGGAAGTATTCTTGCCTCGCTTCTGAAGCAAGTGACTCGACATTGAGAAACACCCAATGTGTCCTCTGTCAGTCTCTGTCTCACTTTGTCTTTCATCTTCACAAATCAGTGTGGGGAAGTGTTGCTTCAACCAGCTACCTACATGTTCTAGTGGCAGTCGAGTAGAGTAGCTCTTTCTATTATCACGCTACCTTTCTAGATGTTAGAGCCATTAACATTATTTTTGATCTAACGTGGATATATCTGACAGATATATTTGAGTTAAAGCGTTATTTATGAAATATTATATTTAGAACCATTAAGATATTTATGTGATCTTATATATATATATTTTTTTTGATACGGACACTTTTTGTGAATGAACATTAAATGGACCAGACACTTTCCATTCTGTCTCTGAGAATTGCCTGACCAGAATAATGATATTGGGATTTTTCACTAGTAAAGAGGCATTTCTTTCAAAATGTAAATCCTAGACATTGTTGCAATTCTGCTTTGCCATCCCCCATCTTAAGTCCCAATATTCCAAAAGTGGTATAAGAATAATGCTTATTTCTGATGTAAATCAACAGTAGATGCTATTAGGTGCACTTGAGTTGAAATCAGCTTCAGTCTGAGCGGATTGTAGGGGGGGGAGTGTATAGTTTCTGCATTTGAACTACAGTGAAGAGTAGCTTGTAGATTCATTAGTTTCAAAGTAGCTTCCCCCAGTCTACTACACAATGATGTGGCATGATGGACGGCAGCTACATACAACACCTGATTGGATTTTATACAAAATGTAATCTTTCAGCATTGCACTTCAAGCTAAGATGAGTCACAGAGGACAGTTCTGGTACTGCTTCTCCTGTATGTTACATACACTTTTTAGGTTTGGTTGCAATTGAGTGTGTGTTTTGGGGCAACTGAGGATAGTGAAGTAAAATTAGAAAGAGGGCAGTGTGGACTGACACAGCAAGTTTTTTTCTGGCTTTTCTTAAATAGGTCTAACAGTATAGAGTCCCTCCCCTGCAGAGGAGAGGTCTGTTTTCAGACTCGTTTTCTGTCTGTGTCAAAAGCAAAGTTTTCTGAAGGCCTCTCTTCCCTCTCCCTTCTCCTCTCACCCTCTCCCTCCCCTGTGACTAATTATTTGTGTTTCTTTCCCACTCCGAGTGCGTTACTCAGCGACATCCTGTCTTTCTTTAACACCAGACAGCATGCACAATATGTGTGTGTGTGTCATACCATGCCATCGTGTATCTGCGTGTTGGCGGGGCTCTCCAGTAGCTGCAGTTGTTTTTCAAAGAGCTGGGCGATCGCTCTGTGAACCAACTCGTACTGCTCCTAGGGAGACAAAGAAAGAGGGAGAAAGATAGAGATAGGACAAGGTGAGGTGAAGGAGAAGGGAGAAAAACAATTGGTTTTTCGGAAAATCAATATAAAAGCAATAACATTCTCATGTCTGTACTCAAAAACATCAATTTACAAGGCTGTGGAATACAACCTGTGTGAAAACAACAGAAGGGCCTCGCCCGATGCACGCTGATATAATCACATTATGTTCCCGGTGAGGCAGTAAGTGTATTGCAATGCATTTTCAGAAATTACATTACAGTTACCGGCTCCCAGCAGTCTCTATCAAAGGCAATTCTATGAGATATCTAACAGGGCTCTTTTTATGTGTGGGAGGAGACATCATATATAAGCAGCAAATGAAGCTGGGCGCTTTGTTCAGACTATAACACTCATTATTTTTGAATGAATGCTGCCTAAAGAAATGGCTGGAAAATGAAGATCCTCCCAGGTCAAACCGCTGGAACCGGTTACAGATAACGGCGGGAATGTGTTGACCCCGGGCTAAGAAGCATTTTGAAGCAGGTGTGCAGCAAGGAACACAGAAGGAAGAGACATGACCCGGGCTATGGAATGGAGGAAACGCTGCCACTACTGTCACTCAAATGGGGAACCATATAAAATTGACAGAAATAACTTGAAGCAACTTCTCGTAAAGATTATACAGATAGAATGCTTGTTATGCAGTATTATTTGTCCTTACGTGTTTAATATTGCCTAAAAATAATGAATAATTTTTCTAAACAAGATTTGCATCCTCTGGGGTAAGGAACTTGGTGTTTCAATTAAACATTGAGACATTTGTGCTGGTGGAATTATGTTCATTTGACAACCAGACACACATCACACAATGTTGATCTTAGCTCCGAGCTTCCCTGTTTGAAGGAAGCTTAGCATTAGCATCAAATCCCTAATTATTATTCTATAACTACTGAACATTATTCCAATAACTTTGAGTCATGTGTATTTCAGTTAATTGACCTTAAATGGTTATACTTGTCTGTGTGTGATAACAAAAAGTGAAGAACAAACCTTGGTCTGAACAGCAGAGTGTCGTTGCGTCCTCATCTCTTGGATCAACCGAAAAACATTAAAATCTTCTGGTATTTTCTGTAGAAGCACAAATCAAAGGTGTTAATTCCCACTTGAATCTCCACATAACAGTTACCCTGTGTGTGTGTGTGTGTGTGCGTGCGTGTGTGTGTTCACATACCCCAGCTTTCAGGAGGTTCCATGTGTAGTCGATAGCACAGATAGCACCCGTCCTCCCACAGCCTGCACTGTATAATCAGTCAGAGAGATAAGATTCAACAGAAGCAGACACATGTATGAAGACACATATACACTCCTGAGCTTTATCCTTGTCATTGCAAATCTGGATTTCAGTTTGTGAGAAAACAATAAAAGGAGTACCGACAACCACAACACCTCAGCAGACAGGATGGAGACAGGAGCTACGGAGTATGTGGCATCGTGTCCGACACATAAAAACATAAACTCTATCTCATGCTGTCACAGAGCCTCTGCGGTTACAGACAGTACAGCGCACCACACATCTTTACAGGAGCAGCTTCAGTCCTGCTGTGTAACAGAGGAACCAGGAAACGTCCGCAGGCTGCTCATTAGAGCTGATTATACACACATGGAGACGGTGTGTGTGTGCTGTGTGGATACCCACGCATGTGTGCAGCATAAACCTATAGTTTCATGAATCAGTGTGCATGTTAATGACGTCCACAAATGAAGTTCTTTATTGGTGGGAATTGCCATTCATCTTTGAGTCATTAATGTTTTGCCTAGACCCTTAACAATACAGTAATCCTATCTCATCACTATATTAGCTATTATAAAAGTCAAATCAAGCAATCTGATTGGTTCTTAGCTGTGATATAATGAGCATATACCACAGGCAGAATTGTAGTTACTTTTCACAACAAGTCAGTATCCCTCCGTGTCTGAGAAAAGCTACAACCGTTACAACTGTTACATTACGTCCGTTACGAAACTAACTAACTAACAAAGCTTAAGATGGAAACATGTAAGGGATAATGTGCAGCAAGGATTTATTGACCGTTGTTAAAGGACGCTCACATCTGCAGAAAGAAGTCCGGTCGATTGAACTGTATACAGTTGGGCTGTTTTCAAACTGGGACAAGAAAACAGCGGAGAAGTAACGGGGCAGAAACCCTCCTTTTTACGCAACGGTCCAGACATATATATAGTGCCTCTACCGTGACATGTCTCCATGCTTTAATGTTCAAATACTTTATTTTTCTCAAATGCCTATCTAACAGGAAAGGGAAACAGGGGCTCTTTAAGATAAACTATGGAAGGATACATAGTTTACCAAATCTACATTATATATCAGCAAATTATTAAACACAAGTTCTAGCTTTCGCCAGAAGTAGTTGCATATGTGTGTGTCTGGTCTAACTACAGTGTTCAAACTTGGAACTCAAAACACACACACACACACACACAGTAATGCCAGCCACCTGTTGCAAATTCTCACTGCCTCCTCAAAGAAAACAACTGGCCATCTCATGAATCATACAATTCAATTTGAAAGCATAAGCAAGTAGAAAATGTGAGTCTTTAACTAGAACAGGCAATTGGAGAGTGAGGTATAATTTAATAAATAATAAACATCACATCAGTCTTTTTTTTGTTGCGTTGCCTTAGTTACAGTACATGCAGCAATGGATTTGAGTCTGCACAGTCTGTCCGTGCTGACCTACCTGCAGTGCACACATATAGGAACATCATCGTTCTCTTGGTATTCCCTCATCAGTGCGATCATATCCAGTATGGAGTCAAACGATGAGGGGACGTCGTGATCCGGCCAGTTCATATAATGGAACTGTGTTAGCCTCCGGTTTTCCTACACACACACACACACACACACACACACACACACACACATACACATACGGAGGGATTTTTTTTAAGAACATTTAATTAGAAAAAATGGTCGATGGAAGGACAGGGAATTGAATCATCAGGCAAAGATGAGCAGCCTAAGTGAATGTGGGGGCGATATGTTAGGCCTTTCCTTACTTTTAGTGGAGTTACACAGTGATGATATGAACATATTTGTAGCATTGTTGATTATTTGTACGTGATTTTGCATACATTTCCAATATTGACTTTTTATTGTGAGGACTGGCAGGGGCAACAAAAGCACGTTTACAGTGTCAGAAGACTTACATTCTCATTCTCCACGGTCAAAGTCCTGATAAAGTAGTCTGTTCTGGCCTGCTCTGACTCCTGCAAACAGCAGAGACAGGGAGAACATTAACACAATCCTTGACTAAAACGCCATTAGAACAAAATGTGAGAAATGCAGGAGCCCAGACCACCCGCCCCCTTTTCTCCATACACTCTCCGTACACACACACACACACAGCTGTGATATTAGAGATTTGTCTACTTACACAGGAGATTCTGAAGGGGCCAAAACTCATTGGCTCCTCCCCAAGCAGCGGGAAATACCGCTCACACTTTTTCTAACGAGAGAAGCAAAGGAGTTAGCTTTGGCTGAGAACAACATACCAGACAAATACCACAGCTTCCTGTGCACACACACGTTCTGGCTCAGAATAAACAATTAATGTGACATGTGGAACATCAGCAATGACAATTACAGAAAAAAATAACTGAATATAAGATACTATAACCATATGTGCAAAACTGACATTTGTAGTTACATATGCTCATTATCTGAGACATCAATCACACTTTTCCATCAGTCAGTTCAGGCTTTGGTAACGGCCTCCAGCGACATCTTTTCACAAACACTGCGATATCATTTGTATATATACAAACATCATCACCAAGGACAGATGAGGACAAAAGAATCGAGGGGCAAATAAGTGATTTACGTTTTTTAAATGTTCTAACTGACAAACACACTGATGGGACCAAAGACATAGTGTATGAGGACACATTAACAACACACACATAAGCGTGCACTGGAACGCACACAGAGGGATTAAATATCAGGGCCTTACCCTTCCCATTTCAAACTCTCGACAAGCCATCACAATAACCTGCAGGGACACAAACAGGAAGGATTACAAATCAATATTTATACTCGCGGATAAATCGTACATTTCCGAAAATATTGCTTCCTTCCTTTATGTTCTATGTATGCAATGCTGTAGTTCCGAAATGAGGTGCACACCCTGCAGAATATGAAAAGCTTTAATAGAGAGTGGCTCAACCTTTCTGTATTTTAAATTCAGTCCAGCAGACTTCAGATCACTTTGATCCTACAGGAGTAATTATCACAGCTGCAACGTCCCGAGTGTGAGCTGAACCTTATCACAGCTCCCCCCTTTCTCTCCATCTGCTTCAACCATACGCACCCCCCATCTGTCTGACATTAAATATTTATTTCCCTACTTTAATTATTGTCCCCACACAAAGCGGGAGGTTACATCTTTCTGTTGCTATTCTATTGGACCCAGAGGCCCTGCTCTATGCCAACAGCCTCCTGCTCTCTGAATCCTCCTGTCTGCTTCCCCCATCCTCTAAGCCATACTCACAGCTACATTATACTCCCAGTTCATCCTCCAGAAGTCGATGACAGTGTTCTGCAGGGGGCCCTGAGTTGCAATATACGCCTCCGGGCCATCCATACCCTGAAGGGAGCGAAAGAAAGCAAGATCACAAATCCATCCTGTTTTTACACACTTTATCTCCCTGTGATTCATAGAGCACTTTATAGCACACATATCTTCCTAACACTGTAATCAAAGTTTCAAACAACAAAAGGCCTTTCAGGTGCTTTCTTTTACCTTGATGAAGTTAGCATTGACGTAATCCGAGTCATTATTGGTTGTTTTTAACGTCAGCTTCACCCTGGTGTGGTCAACTGTGGATAGACAGAAAGAAAGAAGTCTTTACTTTGGTGCATTTGAAGTATTTCCTACTTGCAGAGGCAGAAATGAAACAAGACAAAGAGAAAAGAGTGGATTGGGATAAAGCGAGAGACAAAGGGAGGACAAGTAGGAGAGAAATGTAAAATAAGGTTAATGGACACAGCGCATCCTCATTTCTATGTGTGTGTGTGTGTGTGTGTGTGTGTGTGTGTGTGTGTGTGTGTGTGTGTGTGTGTGTGTGTGTGTGTGTGTGTGTGTGCAGTCACATCTGTTACGGATGTAACAGATGTGACTGCACATATAAGCAGCTCATTCACTAAAAGCTTTAAAGGTCCCATGTCATGGCCATTTCTACTGATCATAATTCCATTGTTGAGGTCTACTAGAATTAATTTACATTGTTCAATGTTCCAAACTCACATTGGTTTCTCATACAGCATCTCTGTATAGTATGTGTATTCACTCTCTGTCCTACACGGCTTGTTGGAGCTCCTGCCCCCCCCTGTCATCTGTCCTGATGAGTCCACCACCGTTACAGCGGAACATCAGTGATTATGTGTTACAATGGCGTTTGTTAGCAACCAGAAAATGACACCAGTAATGACAAACAGATGAGAATGCTGCGTGGGGTCTGGGTGCCGTGTTGGCGGGACGTTGCGCGGCTCGCTGCTGCGAGGAGCGGACAGTGTGAGCTGGGTTAATTTCCTGCTTGCTGCGTGGGGTCTGCGAGACAGCGAGACATCGCGAATGGACACGGGAAGGGGGGTGCTGCTGAGGGGGCTGCAGCACCCCCATCTGCGAGGCTCCACTAGCACTAGCACCCGCACCCCCAAACGCGGCGCACCTACAGTGTAAGCGCGCAACAGTTTTGCCGCTGCGAGGCTCCACTAGCACCCCCCCCCCCAGTGCGTCACAGTTTCACCGCTGAGAGAGTGTGTGTGTGTGTGTGTGTGTGTGAGGAGCTCCACGGATTGGTCCATTTGGACCAATGGGTCCATTTGGGTATGATCACGTCACCATACCCAGGAAGAAAAAAATGGAAAAAGAGAAATCTCCAACGAGGCGTTCTGGGGCAGCATAGACAGGTATCTTCTGTGTTAGAGTTTTACTCGCTACAGCAGGGGTGGGGAACCTTTTCCCTCTCAAGGGCCATTTCAATTTTTTCAACATCCTCCGAGGGCCGTACAAATTATTGACCTCTGCTTAAAAATACTAAAATCACAGCCCATTCGTTTGGCCTTTCTTTCATGCTGTGCAAAGAAAAAGCAACCTCTTAATCCAGATATCTTACCATGACTCGCGCATGCATGCACGTGCACGGTTGTGGCATGACCACCACAACAGAAAGATATGGACACAAGATGTGTGCAACTGTGTTTAGTTTCCTATCCATGTGAACATGATTTAAGTGGGGGGGGGGACCTAACCTCCTCTAGGGGGGTCCGGGGGGCATGCTCCCCGGGAAGATTTTTTTTTAAATGTTGAATTAAAAGCATCAATCTGGTGCACTTTGAGAGCAACATTAAGAGATCTATGGATACATCTCTCAACACCCATATGAAACAGAACTGTAAGCAGATTTATTTTTCTTTATGGATATTTTACAAATCACTCCCCTTTCAAACTGTATTCTTGTTTATTAATGACAACTTTTTTTACTCTCATATAGTATTTTATACCTGTTTACTTTATTCTCTTATTTTTTTATAATAACTATAATGATCATATAAAGATGTGCCTTTACCTCACTGGTTGGAGAAAGAGCTTCTTATATTCGTTAGCATAGCTAGCTAACCAGATGCTAATAACAACAAAGTTATTGACTGTATGATCAGTATGACAGATGAACAGATCGCCACTGGGCTTTCAACTAAAGACACAGCCACGCAACAACTGCGGCATGTGTACGGCTCCTTATGGGTACTGCAATTTGTGAAGTGGCGGAGCGACGTTCTGGTGCTCTCCTGCAGAACTGCACCCGTCAGACGAGACATATACCACGTGATGACACGTTAGGCTTGTGTTGTGTTCAAGGACCCAGACCGTGGCCAGGAAAAACAGGCACTCGCTTGTTTAATTTTTTTGCGGTCTAGATTTCTTTAATTTTTTTTCTTTTTTGCGTGTGTTTATAAATTACCTCGAGGGCCGTACCAAATGGTCTCGCGGGCCGTACACGGCCCGGGGGCCGGAGGTTCCCCACCCCTGCGCTACAGGGTGTACTTTGAGGGTTTGTGACTTTGCAGACCGTTAACATGCATAAAAAGCTACATAACACACAAGGGGACGGGTAATAACCGGAGAAGCATGACATGGGACCTTTAATGAATGAATGAGTGGGTGGATGGAAGGAAGGAGAAAAAGAGGATAAAGGTATGAAAAAAAAGGATGAAGTAGGACAGATGTTGGGTCAGGGAAGCTCCCCCTGAGGTCACTAATGGCGCATTTCCACTGCAGGGCCTCGCACGGCTTAGTACGGTATAGTTAGGCCTTGGTAGGCCAGGCTCACTTTATACTGCGTTTCCATTACAGTTTAGGAACTGGGGTAGTAACTATAGTAACGCAGTGTAGGCGGAGCCGTGACGTCATCTTCAATGCGAAACACAAAACCAACATCAGCCATTAGCTGTTAGCACTCAAGCTCACAGCTCCTCATATCTGTTCAGAAACTCGACAAAAGTTAAACAAGTACAAACCACAGACTGCCTGTGTCATGGCGAATACAGTCGCTGCTTTATTTATGTCTGTATAGGCCGTTGTTGTGAGTGTGGACGGTAGGAGCATATACTACGTTAGCTTAGCCGATCTCCATTCAGAAAACACGCATTTTAAAAGGTTTTTCGCCTGCTGTCTGTCTGCAGACTTGTCAAAGCATTAATTCATGGTTTTTACTAACCGGTATCAGTATGTTGTTACTTCGGCATCATTTTGAAACGTGTATTACAATTAAATCATGGTAAAATATGTTCATTTTGTTGTAGCTGCCAGCGATTCTCTCACTAGTTTAGCATACTCAGCCCGGTTGTTGGCCCGGAAAGAACCTCAATTGGAGAGCCAGAAAAACTGTGAAAAAGTACCCGCTAGCCGGAACTAAGCCAAGTGGAAACGCAACCAAAAACGGGCCGGGCACGGCACGGCACGCTTAAACCGCGCTGTAGTGGAAATGCGCCATAAGTACAGCAACAGCTGTGTGTGTGTGTGTGTGTGTGTGTGTGTGTGTGTGTGTGTGTGTGTGTGTGTGTCAGACCTTTACAGCAACTAGGAAATACAGTAGCCAAGAACAGATACTTTGTGCTTTATGTTAGTGTATGTCTAAGTGGGAGTCACGTTTTCCCATTCATATTAACATACTTCATGTATGTGTTGGTACTTACATGGCAGTATATCTTTATATCTGTTCTTCTTGACATTCTCCTCCTTCTCTCCTACGTTGGTGGGGTAGATCTTCTCTGTGCGGTATTTAGTCGATAACCGCCGTAACCTCTGGAAAAAACAAGAGAGGAAAATAGATTTAATAGAGATAGATGATGAATTATTTTCTCCTCTCTGCTCCACCTACACAGATTATATGTGATTTGTTTCTAAGTACAAACGAAGGACAAGCAACATAGGGTTACACTGATGATGGGGGTGCTTTTCTGCAAAGGGAAACAGGAAAGAGAGAAATGATAACAGAGAAACTTCATTTGAGAATCACACTGAAATACAGATCTTTAAGAGAGTAGAGAGTCATTTAAGTTTTAGGAAAGAAAACTTAAATTAGTGAAAACTCAATTTGAGTTTCAATCAAGCTTTGCCATTACATATGTTCTGCCCAGAGCCCTGTCTTACATACACAGCGGTTACAATGGTTAAACTCACACACATATTATACCCACCCTTGATGTTAGGAATACCACAGCTCCCCACCCCCACACACACTCCTGTGCATTAAGTTAAGTGAGGCCAGATCTAATAGTCTGACACTGATAAAGACTCATGCAGTCAATGGGAAGCAGGCTCAAATTCAGCTAACAGTTCTTTAACTTGAGTCGACTCACAATATTCACCAACATGAAGAGCCCCTTTAATGCTGTTTGGGGTTTTCCCTTTCCAGTAGTGTGTTTTTTTTTTTGTGGGTTTTGGTGCATGTAAACGGTCTGCAAAGGTTAAAATGTGTTCCGTCCACAAACAATATGACCTTAACACCATTACTTTCTACTGTAATATAATTACAAAAAGTGGCAAGGCAGATTTAACTGGCCAAAATAAACCAGTCAGTGCCTGTTTTATTAAAAGTGAGATTGTAATATTTCTTTCACTTAAGCTGTGCGTAGAGTCGGTTTGCTCTTTACTGACATATGTTGTCTCAGAGTTAAAAAGGGGTTTACATTTATATTGTATTAGGTTTAAGTTGATTCCATTTTATTCAATGGGAATCACTGGTTTCCTTTTAACTCCACAACTCCACAAGCATATTTTATAAGATGAAGAAAGAGGCTTCAGCACCATCAATAGTGCTAAATGCTACATTTAAAACATAAAAGAGGAAAATATACTATATTTTAATACATTGAGGGACATTTCTGAATCTTCCAGTGAATCACCGTGGCCTCTAGTGTCACAGTCAAACTTTGTAAAAACTTCTAAAGAACAGAAAGACTTTTGTATCATATAAAAAGCTCCTGCTGCTCGACTGATAGTGTTCACATGATATCGCTTTTAAGTGCCTTTTTTTTTATTATTCTCTCAGTTGGTTAAATCAGGGGTTCCCAACCCCCGGGCCGCAGACCGGTACCGGGCCGCGGAGGTGTTATGTTAAATCATAATCTCGATTATTTGGGTCAATAATTGATATCACGATTATTAAAAACGATTATGCATTTACTTTGAAAACATCAATTTATTGGAGAAAAAAAATGTGAAGTTTGTTTTTAACAGTTGATTACCCTGAACTTTAAGTATAATTCAACTGAAAAACCAATATAAAACTTTTTCAATAATAATAATAAAAGAATAATCGTTTTATTTCGATTACGTTGTTTTCGTAATCGTTGCAAGCCATAATCGTAATTGCGATTAATTGAGCAGCCCTAGTTTATCGTAATATTTGCAGTATTATAATATATAAAAAAAATGTATTATAATGTTTTTTTCAAAAAGTGTTTAATTTTCGCACCTATACCAGTCATATTATTTAATCCAGTAGCCTAGTTAAACTTTCACCAGAAAACAGTTGAAAATGGCTTTTATGATGTTCCGAGGGATTCGGCGGCTCAGCCTAAGGTCTCAGCCTCTCGTGCGCACGAGAAAGTTACGGGTGCGCCAAGTAGGAAGAGGAGCGCACAGCAGACAACTGTTTACAGACTGTTATGTTTATGTGAGGAAATGGCAGTGTATACATTATTTGAGATATATTTCAAACTCGGACTTCATTTTAAGGACATGACGGCCAGGGGTGTAGAGCTATTTGTTTAAGCACCGGATTGGCAAAACAGGAGAAACCAGTCTGCCTTGATCTATGAATTAATGTCCGGGACTCTCACAGTACCTGCTGCCCACAGCTGTTTTATAGAAGGAAACCCTCCTTCACTTCATGAAATGGCTGCAGCATCAGGAGGCAGCGGGACGTGTAACTCCGCCTCTGAGAAGTGCAGCACCAGCGCCGAGAGCTGTGCCTTTTTACGCACCGCCTTCACTGTGTTTACCTTCTTCAGAACAGCTTAATGTGCTGTTTACACGAGAACACAAACGGTTGTATCCGCTACTTTTCTCTTTCGTATAGCCCGTTCGTTCACACGAGGCCGTAACGGAAACGCGCAAATGGACCGCGCAAACGATAACGGGTCCCAAGGTGGATAGATCTATACGATCATTTCCTGATAACGATGAAGCCATAGCCCCGCCTCTCCCCACCTCTGCTGCTCACTACTGTAGCATGGTAAGTAGCTACTGCTACTGACCATGCTACAGATGTTAGTGCAAAATCTACAGCTCCTCTACCACAACCATCAGCAACAAGTGGACATGGAGAATTACATGAACTACATGTTGCTAAATCCACCGCGGGGCATAAACAGAAGGGCAACCATGGCAACCATGCTCGGGGGTCTTCTTCGCTGCTTTTGGTGTATTTTGTGGCGAAAGTACAGCGCCACTTACAGGCCCGGCATATGTACTACAGCGTCTCCAGCGCTTTTGAGCGGTCTGGTGCGGAAGTACAGCGCCACTTACAGGCCCGGCATATGTACTACAGCGTCTCCAGCGCTTTTGAGCGGTCTGGTGCGGAAGTACAGCGCCACTTACAGGCCCGGCATATGTACTACAGCGTCTCCAGCGCTTTCGAGCGGTCTCGTGCGGAAGTACAGCGCCACTTATAGGCCCGGCATATGTACTACAGCGTCTCCAGTGCTCCCGAGCGGTCTCGTGTGAACGGAAGACTTTTTTGATATCGTATTCGGTTTGTTTGTGTTTCGTATGCGTTTGCGTGTAAAATGGGTCTAAGAGTGACTGCAGGCTGCTACGTGTTAACCACACACACCTCTACACACACACACACACCTCTACACATATCGAACTGCCCGATTATTCCCCCTATTACTCGTTTTATGAAGGAGATGTCCGGTCACCAAGGCGCATGATGTGTGTGTGCACCGGAACGAACGACACTATCATAATATTTTCTGAAAACAAATGTCAGTGTTTTTTGGTTTTAAACGTTAATATGTTTTGGATGCATATTGTTCTAGTATTTGTTCAGGCTGTTAGATACAATTAGTCTCTGTTGCTACCTGCTGATGAGTAAATATTAAAATCAGTTAAAATTGACAACCGGTCCGCGATTTCTTTTTTTATGTATCTGCCGGTCCTTGGCACAATAAAGGTTGGGAACCCCTGGGTTAAATCACTTCCTTCCCTCTTTCTGAGACAGTGAGGAAATTAGGCATCACTCTCACTCCCCTTCTCTCTAACGGTCTCTGAGAAAGTCAGCGTGGGTGTTGGGCTGCTGGAGCTCCGTGTGAGGAATGCCCCCCCCCCTCTCTTCTCTGTGGCCCTGACTGTTACTGTGCCGGAGACACACAGTACATCCTGAGAACTCTCAGACACCAAGCCTGTTCTTCCTGTCCCTGTTTCTCCTCTGTGCTTAAGCAGAGACATAAAACAATACACACAGAGAGGAACGCAAAAGCACACACAACAGGTATTTTTAATCCTACATACATAAATATGAAAGCTGTGATGAAAATGTTTAAGAGGACATATTCTGCAGCTCATTTTCATGTTCACATCAGTATGTAGTGTCTCTACTGGGACATGTCTCCATGCTTTAATGTTCAAAAAGCTCTTTATTGTTCTCATACTGCCTGTGCTGCAGCACCTCTTTTCACCCTCTGTCTGAAACCAGAGCCCAGTCTGCTCTGATTGGTTAGCTGGCCGGCTCTGTTGTGATTGGTCAACTGCTTAGAGATGTCCCGCCCCTTAGCCTATCACGTACACAAACAAACTCTTCAATAAGAGATGATTTCAAAATGACTCTCTTTGTGTATTCATCACATGTAGTATCAATATTGTGATAAATGAAACATTATTGAATATTTTCCTCATATTTTTACGTGCCGTTTTTTTTTCTTTCGCTTCTGAAAGCTTTCTTTTTGATTCAGGGCTTCGGTACATTCAAAAACTGACTGCTGTACTCACTGAATACACGCCTGACACACACACACATAAACAGCTTAGACGAGCGGCACAGAGACATCTAAAGTCATAATGAGTTTTTCTCCTCATCTTTATATAGAGAACGAGAGGTACACACACTGTGGGCGGCAACACAACAGCCGTGCCTGTGTGTGTGTGTGTGTGTGTGTGTGTGTGTGTGTGTGTTAATAGCATTAGAGCTCCTCTGGCCTCATGTGAATTACATTTCCAACAGAGGCCTGCTTCTGTGTTGGGCTAGAGCCCGGGAACACACACACACACACACACACACACACACACACACACACACACACACACACACACACACACACACACTTAAGACGCACAATGAGCAAGAGGAGGCAGGCAACAGTGATTTGTGATGGTTTTTGATTCCCCCAACCCACAAACACATTCTGCTGAGACTAACATGCACACAGTGCTCCGTTCTCTGTAATGATGAGTGTTTTCTCTTTGTAGCCTATTTCACTTCATTTACAGAAAACTGCAAAAACAAGTGGATTCTCCCTAAAGTCAATTCATTCTGACATTCTGTAGCACCTAATCAAGGATTTGTTTTGGCCCTGAATCAAAATACATGATAGACTGTGGCAGCTGCCATTTAGGAACAGATTTCCTGTTTTCACAAGCACACAACTTGTATAATCACGAGGTCAAACTGCAAAGGATTATCCACACAGAAAAAAACTAGGAAATAACAACTTTAGTACCAGGCTCAAAGACATTTCAGCAGTTATAAATCCAGGTGTACACCTTCCTCTCTCAATTCAGAGGAGCAAACCAACAAA